AGAACCCTGGAGCTGCTGTTCAACGCACGGCTTTCCTGGGGCGCGGGGGAACCTCTGCGCTGCCTTCAGCACGGTGTGTGGGTCTGCCAAGGCGGGGGTGGCACTGGGCACGTGAAGGGGAAAAGCAAGGCTGGGAAGTCAGGCGCTTCCTTGGACTTCAACCTGCCAGATTACCAGGATCAACACAAGCCTGTTTGTGCTGAGCCCTGCTACTCGCTGCCCAGGGGCGCACAGGGCACTGCCAGCCTCACGGGCGCCCTGCTCTGCATCACCCACGTTCCCCACTGCCCTGGGATGACCAGGGCCAGGCACATCAGCCGTGGCATCCCCATAGCCCGCGCTGTGCTTCTAGCCCTGGGAGCCATGAGATCCCAGTGCGAGGAGGACCATGTGGCTGGAGCTGTGGAGCAAGGTGTCCCTGGAGAAGACAACGCTTCTCCTGCCCATGGGAACACGCTTTCCTACCCCAGACAGCCATGGGCATGAGGGTGGCTGCCATCTTCGCAAGGCAAAGGCGCTGTCTGGAGGGAAATCTTAGCCCCCAAAGGCCACTGGGCTGTTCAGGTGTCCTGGCTGTCACTGTCAGGGCACAAGCCCTCGCCGTGCAGGGGGTCACCAGGAGGCAGGGCTGGGACTGCCCTCGGTCTCTTGCTTTGGTCTCTGCTGGTGCCTTTGGCAGGCCCTGCCCTGGGGCCGGGCTCTGGGGCCTTCCCTGCATTGTGCTTGGGGACATTCATGCAGATGGCCTTGGTGCCCTCCAGCCCTCCTTGGAGGCTGCAGCGGTGCCACAGCCCAGCCCTTCGCCCTCTCCACCATTAATGTGAGCGCTGCCCGTATGGGGACAGGCTGGGCTCTCTGCTCCCTGCTGGCGCCCGCAGCCAGCTGAATGGCACCAACTGGCACGGGAAGCTGCGGGCTCTTCCTCTTCCTGCACAAGAGGAGCTCGGAGGGAGCAGGCCAAGCCATAGGGTGCTGGGAATTTGCATAAGCCCCAAACTGCAACACCAACAGCTGAGAGTTATCACAGTCATAGCTTGTGTTTATCAGAGCACCGAGGGCACTAATAACCCTTAATGGCCCTGAAGAGCCTCAGCTGGGACCTCCTCCCCACTTGGCTCCTGGGCTCAGGAGCTTATTTCAGGCTACTCTGAGGTCTTCTGCTCCACCTAAGCCATGCCCCAACCCGCATGTTGGCTTCCTGGCCCAGCCTAAGCCCTACTTTGTCACCTTGCACCTACTTGGTAGGTGCCGGAGCACAACTTGGTTTTGACCCTGAGCTATGCATTGCTTTTCTGGCTCTGACCTGCCTGTCACTGTGAGCTTGGCTGATGATCTGCACTCCTAGATGGATGTGGCTGCAATCTCCTGCGCTGCCCTGCTCACCTTGCTGGGGTACTCAGCATTGGGGCCCTGGCTGCTCTTGGGCAATGCCATCCTCCAGTAACGCAAGAGGCTGTTTACTAAAGCCCTGTTTGCCAGCAGCTGGAGCTGAGAGGGAATTAGGAGCTGCGTAATCCTTCCCTGGAGCAGCAAATGAGAGGCTGGGGCTTTCTCCTGGATGAAGAGTGAGGAGCAACATTTCCCTTGGGAATGGACCTGCCCGGTGTGGACAGCACGCTCAGCCCGGCAGAGCCAGGCCAGCTGAGGGTGACTGTGTCCTGTGTCCCCTCTGTGGGACAGCTCCCCAAGGCAAAGCAGAGACTTTACGAGAGAAGACAGATGCTCTTAGGAGTGGGTGAGGCAACAGCCAGACCCATTCTCTGCTTTATTTAAGAAAAGAAAAACACGCCACCAGCACACAGCGTCACAGTGAAAGCACAGTCAAGATCCTCGGAGCACAGGAGGCCACAGCTGCTGTTAGTGCAGCTGGGGCAGCTCTCGGCAGGGGCCTGGGCAAGGCCCAACTCCTGGGGCTGGCCGGCAGCCGGGCGGGAAGCGGCTCATGCTGCAGGACACGGTGGCACTCATGACACATGCTAACAAACACATATTGCTTTGGAACTTTTTTTTTTTCTTTCTTTCTTCTTTCTCCACCCCTGGGAGACAGAAAATCCCATAGAGAAGCCGGGAGCTGGAAAGTGCAGTGGCTTTATGAGTAGCTGCTGCTGGGAGCTGCTTCTCCACTCACCCCTCTGCCTCCGAGAGGGCTGGAGCAAACCCTCGGCCCTCTGTTTCCGCAAGGCACTGTGAGCCAGATGCCTGCATCCTTCTAGACCGAGATGTGGCCTCGGTGAAGTGCTTAGCTGAAGAGCAACAGGGAAGACACACAAATTGCTTGGGAAGGCGGAGATTTTTACAAAACCAAGAGGACAGAACGCAGCAAGAAGCCCAGTCATGGCACTGCGGAACAGGCTGCACAGGACATGCTCACCGCAGCACAGCTCGTCGTATTTACAGCGCGCAGACAAGTGAGCAACCACTGAATCACTGAGCAATGCCTGCCAAGCCACAGCTGCTTCACAGTGTGGGCAGCGAGCTGCCAGCGGGCTGTGCGGGCTCCTCCCTGGGCTCCGCACGGGTTGTTTTCGCCCGGAGACCAAGCCCAGCCCAGCAGCCCCGCCAGTGTTGTCGTTGTGGCTACATAGATAAGATCTAGGATGCTGGCACGACGAGCCCCGGCGTCCGCTCCGTGTGCGGCAGAGAGCAGGACGTGCGCGTCCGCCCGGCCGTCAGCGGCTCCAGAGCGCGAAGAGCGCGGGCGCACTGAGCGGCGACAGCCAGCAGTACTCCACCACGCTGTAGAGCGCGTAGCCCAGCAGCAGGCCGAAGAGCACGTCTGTCACGTTGTGCCTGCCCAGCATGACCCTCGAGATGCTGACGATGAGAGCCCAGAGCACGACGAGCACGCGCAGCGGGACAGCGAGCACCAGGTGGTGCAGGACGAAGCGGCACACCAAGGCGGCCCTGGTGGCGTGGCCCGACGGGAAGGAGTACTTGTCCACGGAGAGGGTGACGAACATGTCCATCTTGTTGTGCGTGGGCCGCGGGCGCCGCACGAGCCCTTTCACCACGGCCACCAGCACCAGATCCAGCAGCAGCGCTAGGAGACAGGAACAGCAGTGAGAAAAGACACTTTGGAGAAGTGGCTTTGGGCCTCACGGAAAATAAGGTGGGAGGCAAAGCAAGAGGGAAACGCACCGCTACGAAGGGACATGGAAGATGTGCTCTGTGCCACACGCAGCCCTTGTTCCTGGGGACAGCACCCTCGGCCTCTTTCTCTATAAAATCTGCTCTGCCCATGGCTTGGGGCTCAAACCAGTACCTTGATTTGAAGGCAGCAAATGGGTTAACTACAGAGCCCTCGCCTGAACGGGCACCATCAGCCACACGGACCCAGCGTGCCAGGCCTGGAGTCAGGCTGTCGGAGGTGAGCGATAAACTCACACTAAACGCTCGGCTACGGCGCGTGCCGTGAGGGACCGCAGGCTCCCCCGGCCCGTCCAGGAGGCCCGAGGGAACAAGGGGGCCCGGGGCTCCCCGGCCTGGCTTCTCCCGCTGCCCGCAGGGCGAGCACCTCCAAGGTGATGGCGCTCTGGGCTCTCAAGGGTGGGATGGAGGGGCTTGGGCGATGCCTGCGGGCTCAGGGAGTGTCAGTGGCCCCTGCAGCAGAAGTCTGCCATTTGCTCTCCTTGGATAATCACTGGAGAGCAATACGGTGTTTCTATTGAAACCTAAATGTCTCTTTTCTTATGCTTTTCTGCACACAGTCCTTTCCCCCTGGCCAGGGCAGCGGGGGGCTCTCAAGGGTGGGATGGAGGGGCTTGGGCGATGCCTGCGGGCTCAGGGAGTGTCAGTGGCCCCTGCAGCAGAAGTCTGCCATTTGCTCTCCTTGGATAATCACTGGAGAGCAATACGGTGTTTCTATTGAAACCTAAATGTCTCTTTTCTTATGCTTTTCTGCACACAGTCCTTTCCCCCTGGCCAGGGCAGCGGGGAGGCTGGGGGGGCCT